AGACAAATCGGGAGGCTCTCGTGGCCTCTCATTCAATAGGTACCGGGTCGGAATCTGGATAGCGACAAAAAAAATTTTTCTCTAAAAATGTTCTCCATTCGAATCCTTTCCTTCTCTATAACAATGTTTTAGCATCTGCTTTCGTCTCCATTTTCTGCCACCACCACTCTCACCTCCTTTGCCCCATCCTCTTGGCTCCTGACTCATTCTACAGCCCTTCTACTGCCACTTTTTGGCTATTTCTTATTGCTGTCTTTAAGCTACACTCACTGATCTTATGGTAGGTAAGATCTACACCTAGGCCGTCTCGGACTAGGGCGATAGATCTCGGAGGTCCCGTGTGCAAGTTGCGCACGTTAAGGCGAGCATCGTAAAACACTAAAAGAAAAAAAGAACACATATCTGGAGGTCACATTTCGTTTCGTTAAACAACACAAAAAAGAACACATATCTGAGAATGCTCTATAGAACGAGGGTATAAAACTAACGTCTATTCTTTTTTTAGAATAACAATTGCGTGATTGACACTTTGACGCGAGTGCTGCATCAACTTAATTATTATATTAGATTTATTGTTCCATCAGCTAGAGCAATTTACACCATAAAATCTACAGATAGGGAACAGGTTTTACAGTATGGGTGATTAACTACTTCAGTCTGGAGATCACAATTCGTTTCGTTTAAAAAAAAAAGTTTTGAACTACATCTGACCTTAAACGAAGCAGTAAACACCAATTTACGAGACTATAAAAACGACATGAAATAGTGGTGGCATATTGAATTTATTGTGGATACATTCGGTATGTTTTTGGTTGTTGTGGATTCGTTTTTGTTTGAGTAAAGAGAAGCACATCGGTTGTTGTGGATTCATAGGACGTTAATTTTTAACCCGTACCAAGTTGGCCCCCAAGCCGCCTGGTTTTTTTTTTCTTTCTCTCAAATTCAGAATTCAGTTAACTCCACCCCCACCCACTCCCCTTCCCAAAACCCACCCCCGTTGCCAATGCCATTGCTTTTATGTGTTGTTTGTAATTGCGATCTTATAATTGTTAATTATGTTCTACGTCCCCTTCAACACAAATTAGATTGTTTCGAGCCTGGGGTGGGGGACGCTAGAACAAGCGACGAAAGCCAGGAGGACACTATTGAATTAAATAATCAAATACTAACAAATAGATCTGATCAGTATTTTCTCTTATTGTTCCATTTTAATTATGAAATATCATCGCACCAACTTGATTCTCGTAGTCAACGATCGCCTGGTACGATTAAGATCACTGACATGGCACCATTTTACGGAACAAGATGAAAGACCTTTTTGAGGCAGGCTACTTTGACCCTGCCTCTCAAGGCTATTCCGAGCTGACTGGGGTATAAGATATCAGCAGAAAGATCCCTATCCTATCATAATTCGCTCAAGGAATGCAAAGAGAAACTTGAGATTTAAAAGAACAGAAACGAACTCGATAGTATCTTTGTTGGCTCATGCAATGATACTGAGCAGACTGCGTGGCATACTGTTGGACAATGTGTCCTGAGTTGCCAGCCCACCGAGTACTTAGTTTTTTTATCATCATCATCATCATCATCATCATCATCATCATCATCATCATCATCATCATTGTATAAAGCAGATATTAAAACAGTTAAGACCTGGTAGTATTTCCAACAAAAAAATTATCACAAGTTCAACATTTCGCCCTCAATGTGCTTCCTCAGGAACATTCACAATATAAATGACAAGAATCTAGATCTACACATGTTGTAAAAACTAAAGTGCGTACATACATGTCACAACACTTAAAGGAGCGGTGAGTACAAATCGGAAAGGCCAGAGAGATGCCAACACTAAGGCCAGAAGTGGCAGAGAGAGAGAGAGAGAGAGAGAGAGAGAGAGAGAGAGAGGGGGGGGGGGGGGGGGGGGGGGGGGGGGG